GGCAGTCAAATCTGTAGCAGCATTGCCTTGGGTCTCAAATGAGTTATCTTTTTGGTGCCCCAGACAATGTATGATGGCCACTCTTTTTTGGATACCATATGGCCTTAAAGAGGGCTAGTATTTTTGTTTTGTTATTTATTTATTATTTTCTGATGTTAATAGTCCTCTCTTTTTGTATAAGAAGTCCCCATGAACATAGGCAGTGGCAAAAGCATATCTGTTGTCAGTATAATACTGTTTTTATCTTTTCCATACTTTACAGCCTGTGTTAGGGCTATGAGCTCAGCCTTTTGAGCAGATGTTCTTTGGCTTAAGGCTTGAGCCCAAATGACCTCATCTAAAGTTACCATGGCTGTCCCAGCATACCTGATTCCATTGGAGATGAAACTGCTTCCATCAGTGAACAGCATTTCATTAGGTTCTGTCCAGGGCACACCAGTCAGGTCCAGCCGGAGGCCTTGGAGAGTCTCGATTGTTTTGAGGCAGTCATGGACAGGCTCAATTGGGTCGTCGTCATCCGGGAGGAGGGTAGCCGGATTTAGAGCCATGGTTTTTAGGGGTTGATCTAGAAGTAAAGCCCAATACTGGGTGAAGCAGGAGTTGGTGAGCTAATGTTCAGGTGTACTTTGTAAGAGAGTCTGTACAGAGTGAGGGGCCTCTAAGCATATGTCTTGTTGGCCTCTTTTTACCAGTAAAGCAGTTGCCACTATGGCTCAGAGACAGGTTGGCTATCCTGCAGCTACACTGTTCAACCTCTTGGAGAGGTAGGTGATAGGCCTCTTCCATGGTCCCAGGGCTTGGGTGAGCCCCCCCCCCCCCCACTGGCAATGCCTCACATCTTGGCAACAAACAGGCTGAAGGGCTGCATCAAATAAGGTTGGGGAATTTTTAAATCCTTGGGGGAGGTGACTTCAAGTTAATTGTCCAGAGTATCCTCCCCCAGGGTCAGTCCATTCAAAGGCAGAGAGGTTGGCTTACCTCAGCCAGCAGGAGGCTGAAGAAGGCATCTTTAAGATCTAGCTTTTTGGTTTGTTTCTTTTCTGGACTATCTGTCATTAAAGACCCTCTGAGCAATTTCAGCCAGCTCAGATAACAATTTTCCTTTAAATCCTTCCTGTCTTTGAAGCTGTCTCCTAATGTCTGGGCTGACTGGGTAACAAAGGCAATATTTATCACCTGCCCGTTTTCTGGGGTCTCAGGGTCCACAGGAGTGTAGGTCCTGTAAGCCTCCATAAGGCGTTGCAGGAAAGCAGCAGGGTTTCATTTGATCCCTGAGTAGTTTCACTTACTTTTGATAGGTTAGTGGGCTTCTGGGCTGCTGTGTGGAGTCCCCTAAGGAAAGTCTGGTGATACAGATCGAGAGCCCCCTTACCTTGGTTCGTGTTTGGGTCCCACCCATGTCTGTTAGGGGGGAACACATGTTTGAGGCAAACAGGGTCATCGGAGGGTCAGCCATCATGACCAGTAACAATTTTCAGAGCCTCCCTCTGGATCCACTAACATTCTTCTGATGTGAAGAGAGTCCGCAGGAGCTGCTGACAATCATCCCATGTAGGCTGGTGGGTAAAGAAAACAGTCTCCAGGAGGGAGATAAGGCTCTGAGGTTTTTCTGAGAAAGAAGGATTTTGATTTTTCCAGTTGTAAACCGTGAAGGGAGCCTGGTCTTGAGGAGTTCCGGGAGGCAAGGAAGGCTGTTGGGGTGAGAGGGGGGTTTCAAGGAACGGCAGGGAGGGGACTGGTATGCAGTGCCACTCTGAGTATGCAGAGGGAAAGATCAGGTGGGGGAGTGAGAGGGGGGTTTGGAGGAAGGTTAGGGAGAGCCAGTGCCACTCCGAGTATGGGAAACAGGCAAAGAAAGTCCAGAAATACACCCATAGTTCTGGTGAATTGGTTTTTAACAAAGTTGCCAGAGCAATTCTTTAGGAAAAAGCTATGTGTATGCCCTGAAAACTGTTTACACTACCTTTTAAATATTTCATTTATATCTACCTAAATGTTGACTCTGACAACTGTTACACTGTGGAGTTAATAACGTTGTATATTTTTTTAAAGTGATGAACAGAGTATGCTTTCTTAGCTGCCTAATTGACATTTTTCTGAGGTGTTTGGTCAGTTAATACTTTCAACCAACTTAAAAGTAATGTTCTCCCCATTTTCTCCATGAGCAGAAAGAATGTAAACAAACCTGTGTTTAACAATAAGGTCAGCATGACATAAAATAACAAAAGCCAATAAAACGAAAATGAGGTTGACATTCTGGGACTAACCTAGCAGTCCTACAACAGTTTTTCAAATTCTTTTCTTTGGTTATAGCATATTCAGAGATTAAATCATTGCTGTTATGAACTACTGCTGTTTAACTTATCATCAACCTTCCCCAAATTTTTAAATCTTCTCCAGTGAAGGGAGAAGAAATTATTAAAGGAACTACTCTTAGCTTATTTTCAATTTTTAAAGCCACCTTGGGTCTTCAGAGGCGTCAGAGAGTATGGGAGGCGCTGTGGGAGGCGCTCTTCTTCAGAGAAGCTGGAAGAGAAGGCTTAGTTAAAAGCACACATGGTGTTCTATTTCCATTCACCTTGGGACTTTTTTTTTATGGCACCTTTTTAGTCATGATGGCTTGTCAGAGATTATATCAATCCAAACCTGTATGTAAGGGACTTGTCCCATAGACCTGTTTGGAGGAATTTTGTCCCATTTGTTATATAAGACCACAGTTAATGATACACAAAAACACACAACTGGCAACACACAAAAGACAGACAAGTGGCCACGTCCACAATTACTCTAAGATATCCACAGACACAACAATCGCAACAACAAAGACGAACAAGAAACATGGAAACACAATTCCTATTGACTTGCAAGTCCCAAACCCAAATACAAATTACCAATGGGCCCAGCGACATCTCAGGAGCCCAAGGACTAGGGGATTTAATGCTGCATCCAGCCTCCCACTAAGCCCAACCATTGGTGCACCATCCCTTACTGAGATCTCACCTACCTGGGGAGAGAGTATAGTGCCCCGTTTGCCTCCAGGGAGAAGAGGAACAGCTTCTCTATCTTCTCCTAGGAGATAAGTGCAGGAAGGGATATACTCACAAGAGAAAGAATCTTGCTGGGGCCTCCAAGATGTTGTGGGGCACCCTCCCACAAGAATGCACTTACATGCCACTCATGCAGAAAAGGGCAGTTTATTCACTCCAGCTGGCCAGTGACCATCTCCTAAGGAGCAACCAAGGAAGAGCGGCCTTGGGCCTTGTTCTTGTGGGATTTTTAAAGGCAAAAACTACATCCCGTTGGCACACAGGTTTGTCCAGGTGCACAAAGCAAGCTAGGGAGCTAGGTCACAGAAGCTAAGAATGAGCTGTTTGAGCAGTCAAGCACGCAACTTTTCATTGTGTATGGTTCCTGTTCCCATGTAATAATTCACTGTGTATGGCTCCTGTTTCTATGCAATGGTTTTTGTTTCTATGAGAAGGTCAGTGGTTTCTCATCTAGAAGGTGGGGGGTAGTCTGCAGGTCAGACGGGGCAAAATGGAGTTACTTAGGTTAAGCAAGCAATTCTACAGAAGCAGATAGTGTACGTTGTGAGGGTGTAGGGAGCTCTATTTCAATGGTTAAGCTGGAGGAAGGCCAGACTTCAAATGCCTGCCAGTTACACTGCCCCCTGCTGCCTTCTTTTGAGGAGAACAGCCTCAGATGCTTTTTAATGTGACTCTGTATTCTGCTTGAAAGGGAGACAGGTGGTTATGGGGTACAGTTTTCCAGATGAGGAAGCCAGCCCAGGCTTTGTGGCTTGCTGGTTGGGTGGCTTTGGGAAAGTCACTTAACCTCTCTCAACCTCAGTTTCCCAATTTCTAAGTTGGGGATAATAACAGTACCTACCTCATGCAATCATGAGGATTCAATTAGCAAACACGTGAAGACACGTGAAGACATGTGATGGGCACTCGCCACACTGCCTGCACAAAGACCAGTGAATATTTGCTTTTGTGCAGACCCAAGATCATGCCTGAGACAAAGGCTGCCCCTCAAGATCCATTTCCCATAGTCAGGAATGAACTGTCTCCACCAACTCTTCCCTACTGGGGTTGGAAGGACGGGTGGGGAGAAAGCCCACCCCAAATGATCCCAGCTCCTGAGCAGAGTGGCTGCCATCTCCTCATGTTAAATCCCCATGATCTAAAGTGACCTGGGAGTCTCTCTGCTTCCAGATAGAGCTGGAGAGACACAAAACACATCCTGAAGTTCTCACCTGCGCACATCACCTCATCCTGTCTTTAACCTTCTTGTCTTCTCAGCAGCATGCCCCACATCAGAGTGGTTCATTTCACATCTGCCGTCACTACCATGACTAAGATGGCATTCATCCCGAATCCATTTTAGGATTCAGTCCTCCTCTTCCACAAATTTAGAATGTCAGAACATTCTGATGAGCCTCAACTCCTCTTCTTGTTCTTTGCATCAAATCCAATCATATCACTGCCTGGGGGCCAATTCTGCTACTTATCCTTGGAGTGGGGGTTGTTGTTTCTGAGTCTGTGCCTTTTCAGGTCACCTGAGGAGAGGAACAGGCACCTCCAATCAAAGAGAGTGCATCCTGACCAGCCAGAAGTACTTGTGTATAAGAAGTGGTTTTCAGAGGCTCAGGCCCTGGTTCCAATCTCTGCTCCATGGCACCTGACTTCATAGGTAAGTAACCTCTACAAACCTCACTCTACACCATTTGCAGTATTTAAATCATGTTATTCATACTTACTTATTCACGCTGTTACATACAGTAAATGTGGCTGTTGTTAAACAAAAATTATAGGACGCCATTGCTTCACTAAGCTCCGGCACTTGGTTCAACAGACTGGACTGAAAAGCAAAATGGAGTCACCCATGCTAAAGTTCCACGGCACCAGTTTAAAACTAATTTGTTATCTGACCTTCCAAGAAACTTGGAGAGAGCTAACAGCCAATTTCCCAAACAGGCCAGTTTCAGTCTTCAATTGGCACGATAATGAAATTCCTCTGCTTTAATTCTTACACACAAGGAAGTAACCTGATGTAAACCAATCAGTTCTGTCTCCCTGTCCTTGCCTTACAAGGAAACCAACCATTTTTTGTTCTTTCTTTCTGCTATCTTCAGCCCTTTCTGTCTAAAAATCCAACCACTTTTGTTCGACTCATTAGAATACTTATTCTTTTTTTTTTTTTTTTTGTTTTTTCCAACCACTTTTGCTCGACTCATTAGAATACTTATTCTATCTTTTTTTTTTTTTTTTGTCTTTTTTCGTGACCGGCAACAACCCTCAGTGTCACGCCCATACCGGACCGGGACCGGCAACGGGATCGCAACCCTCGGTGTTGCCCCTGTACCTCGCTCAGCCAGTCAGGGGGAACCGGTCTGTATGTGGGATCCGAACCCTCGGCGGGATCGCCACCGTGCTCCCAAGCGGCGCACTGTATCAGTGCGCCACCAGGCCAACCCTACTTATTCGATTTTATGAAATGAAGTGTTGCCCCATTCTAGAATCACAAAGCCCATTGAGATCTTTCA